CATATAATAATAAGCAAATTAATAAAATAATTTTCTAAGAGTTTTGAAAAGAAAAAACTACTAATAACTTTAATAATTTCATATAAAAACTATAATCTAAAAGTAAAAATTTTTACAAGATTATAGCATTCATATAACAATCTTTTTTTCTAATTCTCTCTTCTTTAAATCATATTTAAAAAAAATCAAATTACTAATACAATTAATTGCTTAATTTAAATTGCACGTACAATTAATAAATAATTAATATATAATAAATTACTTACCTCAGGGTTGTTCCACCGGTGCCCGATGCCTTTCCTAGGCCTCCTCCTCCTCTCGGGTTGATTCACACGCGCGATACTTTAAACGGCACTCTCGCACTTTTATTAAAAGATTACTTCCGCACTTATACGGGCGATACTTTGATCGACACTCCCGCACTTTCGAATTTCGGCACGATCGAACCCCGCTTCACGTGAGAATCACACTTCGAGTCGACAAGTCGGGAATTCACCGGTTACTTCGGGCAAAGGTTAAGCGGAAGCGGAAGAGGACGAAATCGATTGATGGAATCGACGCGAATGGGGTTCGCTCGACTCTTGGTCCGTGCCTGCTCCCATCGAGGGCCGACTCGAACTTCATTAGGAACGATTTCATACGAACCACCAAGTCTCTATCATACAGACTGAGCCGGGTTTATCGTAAGGCTAAGAGATGGGTCATGAATGAAGATACCCACCTCGTAGGTGCTAACAATCTAGATCACTTAGAAAACGGGCGGTCAACTTCTCTAGCGAGCGAAAATCGAACCTAATTAATACAGCCAACTCCTCTAATGCCAAACATGTTAGTATTGCTACAATGTGCTGTTAGACGGTACAAGAGAAGGGACCCATGAACGACGATTCCAAAACAATCGACCGAACTCTAATCGATTCGGGCCGAACCGTTTGTCGGAGCAGAACGTGCCCTCAACAGCCAATTCTCGAACCGAAGTTCAAGATTAACCGCGCGAACATGCATCTATACTATGCACGAACATACGTTGCTACGCGGCCGGCATTCACCTCAGCCGCGACACTGAGGCGTTTTAACATTGCGCCTGCATTAATATGTTAAATTTATTAATACATAAATATTTATATAATATATAATATTAATATAGTATTAATATTAATTGATATTAATATAAAATTAATTATATTAATAGGTATTAATATATTAAAGATTGCAACGCTGAGAGACATCCCATTTAGCCGGCAACTTAGTATGATCCTCGATTACAATCGTGAAAACGTGATAGAGGTCCAACGCGAAAACGCGACGACGCGAAAACGCGAAAACGCGACAATGCGACGCATCGTTGCTCGTGCGGCACGATGACGGCAACGACGACGCACTAATGTGCGTTCAACGCACAAATGCGCGTGTCACATAGGGTGCTTTCCATTTAGTGACTCAAGTCGACACAAGCATCATTCTATCTTTGTTGTTCACTGGTATTGAAAGAAGATAGAATGATACTTGTGTCGACTTGAGTCACTAAATGGAAAGCACCCATATGAGTCATTGTGCGACTCGTGGCAATGCTGTGCTGACACGCGACGCGAAAAGCCCGTTCTACATTGATCGCATGTCGCCAGTCGCAAGCAAATCGACCAATCACAGTCGATTATTCCGTCGAATATTCAGTCTGAAAGTTCGAAAGAAATCGTATCTCAAATCATGCATTATGCGTCTAAGAATAACGAAAAGAAAAGAGCAAAATGGTGTGTATTTATATTTTTCTATAGGCAAAATAGATTAGGCATAAATTAAAAATTTTTCTAATCTCACATATGAATTTTTCACATATATTCAATTAAAGTATAAGAAAAAGATAGTTTTATTTATAAATGTAGATGCGCGCGTGCGCATAATGTGTGTGTGTAAGAACATAAAAAATGTACTTCCATCTAAAAAATATTAAAAATTACTCGTGTTTTAACAGAGAGTGTCAGTTTTCTAAGGTCAATTTTAAATAAGCAGTTAATTCTTTTTCTCGTTAAAATATATTCATAAGCATTAAACTTGTAATTGCTTCAAAACTATTAAAACGAAAAGACAACGAAAGATATATTAGCGAAACGCTACCGCATATCTTGATAATATATAATTTCTTTTATAATTATATAATATTTATTTATATAATATTTATGTGCTTTATTCCGAAAGTTTGCATTAATAAAACTTATGCAACACTAATTGGTCAAAATAATTATACAAGAAATTACATGCAGACTATTTTTTAAAAATTAATATAGTGTTATTTGCTATTGCATTTGTTTGATGTCCTTCTCTCGGTTTAATAAACCATGATTGGAGAGATATCTGGCAAATAAGAAACAACGGTGGTTGAAAATGCGAATATTTTTCGAGAAAATTAATTACAATTTCTTGGTAAATTATATCCACTTGGCACACTTTTTTTTTTGTTAATCGATACCAATAATTATAAAATCTCAATTTGAGAGACTGTAATAACTCTTAAACTTTCCCAAAAAATCATAAGCTAGAAAAATATATCCGATTTGATTTTCAATACTTGGTTATTATGATGTTTTACAATAATTCCAGAATTATAAAAGATTAAATTTGAATATTAATATGAGAAAGAGGGAGGGGGGGAGGGGGGAAGGAGGGAAATATAAAATAAGTTACAAACACAAAGATCAAACGCAAAGTAAATGCAAATGCAATCAATTAATATTTTTGCAGATCTATTCTGTATCAGGCAAAGAATCTAAAATAATTAATTTTAAAAAACCAATTATTACGCGCAACCAAATTTTTTATTATTTCTTATAATTTCTTATAAATCTTTTATTATTTTTATATATTTATCATATTAAATAGATATTTAATATGATAAACATTTGATAATTACCAAAAAAAAAAATATTAATTAAATATTAATTATCGAGAAAATGAAAAAAGAACGAGGCAATGTATATTTTGAAAATAATGTAACACTTTGCACGGCTCTCTCAATCATGGAACAAGCGCTTTGATAAAGATTTATCATCGCGATACAGTTTTGTGTCGTTTATCAAAAGTTTATTGATTGTTAATTTTATAATAATCATGGCGAATTATGCTTCAATATTAATTACGATTGCGTTTAAAGGAAGAATTCGGCAATATACAAAGCGTTTCGCACACCACTACTTCAGTGCTCGAGTGTCGCCGTGCAAATGATAACAAGGCCGTAACATGTAAACAATAGCGCGTCATAGGTCGCCAAACATCTTGTTATTGATAATATCTTGCCGAAATATTTCACGTCCTGTGACGTAATATATACGCGGAATATTAAATTATATGTATAAGTATTTTAAATTATAGATTAATTATTTATTACGCCCGGCGATTGGTTCGACCTCGGGGAGCGGGGATACACTTAGCGCAGAAAGAATATAAATATCCGCGATTTCGGAGTCCCAGAGAGATCAAAAAGATTCCTCGTCGCAAGAACAATAAGAAGAACCTCGGAGCGAGAATCCAGCGATATCGGCAATAACAGATACGACACGGGCAATAGGCGATAACATCTTCGCAAATAAATCGTTCGCAATAAAAACATTCGCCTCCTTTGTCTATTTATCTGTTTAATTCAAATTATATCATCTCATCCTATACACGGGCTATCCTGACAAGCCCACATTAGATTAAATTTAAATTATTTAATTAAATATTATTTAAAAAATAATTATTGCTCATAAAGAGAGATAGCAACAAAACGATAATTTATTATTCGGACTTCTCTCACTACGTTTTTCTTACTTGAATAAATAAAATAAAATTTAATTAAAATTAAAAAAATAAATTACGCGAAAAATGCGCTTCGAAATTTATCTTTGCAATATAATTAACGTTTGATCTAACGTATGTAAATAATTAATTTTAATTATATTAATCATATCAAATTATTCCCCAATAGTTGGCACGATCGTGTTTGGAAAAGGAATTTGAATCATATTTAGATGTGAATCATATTTAGATTGTCGAAGAATCGAACGATAAAGTACCGGAAGAAATATATATATTTAACTTTATTTATGCCAACTGAATAAAAATTTGTTATAAAATTTTTTCATTTTATTATTTCCGTTATTAAGAAAAAATATATTTAATAAATCGCAATATAATTAAAGTAGTAGGGTCTATAGCTAAAATATAATTATTTTATAATTAATTAAATGCATGATATACACACATCTAACGCTTTGGGATATATTTATTGAAGGAAAATTTCTCATAAACTCTAAGTCGCATAAAACAAACTTACACTATACTTTGCTTTAGCATTCAAGCAAGAAAAAATATAGAAATAAACAGGGTGCTAATATAATATAAAATAGACATTATTTCCAAAACTACTGTAGCAATATACCAATAATTATAGTAATTAGAACAATTAAGTTTTGTTTCGGTTACTCGAAAGTGCTAGCGTCAGCATCACGTTGTTTAAAGTTGTAAGAATAAATGTTGTGATTTTGAATCATCAAAATTTTTCGCAAAGTGAGATTGAGACATGTCTTTCTTATCTTTATCTACTAATCTAATATTAAGATAAAACTTGAAAATGGCAAAATATTAGTTATTTAAAATTATTTTTTCAGCGTTTGAGCATTTTATTTGATCATTTAGAAAGTAATGTCATTAATTAATTAATTTTATCAGCTAGATAATATCCATTGGATTCAGTAAAGTATCTTCTATGTTATTTCTTAAAGCTATAATATTTTCGAGACAAAGTTTGAAGTTTGGTCTATCATTCACTGAACTCCAGCAACGCAGTATCAACTCGTACAAAGTCGGTGGGCAATTGAGAGGCATCGGCAACCTGCCTCCAGCGCGGACATAATCTATCACTTCCTGATTAACCTTGCCAGTGTAAGGATGCTCACCCAACGATGTAATTTCCCACATCACAACCCCGAATGACCAAACATCGCTCTGGGAAGTAAATTTTCCGACCACCAAAGATTCCGGTGCCATCCAGCAAACAGGAAGAAGACCTTGTCCTTTCTAAAACATGTGATTTTAACAAAGTAAATCTCCTGGTTCAAGTTATCTATTTTTGGAGTGCTAAAACAAAATACGTTTACTTTTCAAAGTAAAAATGTACTATATCATTCCGACAAAAAAAGAACACACAAACATTTCTAATCAAGATTAAAATTATGCAAATTAGAAACTTGTACATTGCTTCCTCATCATTTTATTTCGCTCACAAACTAAAGCTCCTTAGAGCCAGCGAGTTTTTCAATTTTGGCTTCCTCATAGGGAAAG